ACAATAACATAGGAGGAAACCCAAATCTTGATCTTGCTCAGCAGCCCACCTGCCTTTTCTGGTTTTTAGCTTCATCAGCCACTTCAGTGCTTGAAGGCCGGCCATGCTACTTCTTCGAAGGCCCAGGGTTCACAGGTCGATAAACCAATAAATTAGGTCGAAATCAACTGTGGCTCATTTTAAATTGAAGGAAATTGATTTTTGCATGTACGTGGCCAGACTGACTACACCATCTGCCAATGGAGTCTGGCATACCCAGAAAATGCATAGGAAGGTCCCACACTCATCAACAAAGAGAATGCCTCACCCCCACAGCCCAAACCACCTCTGGAGAAATACTAATCCCTGAATATTCAAACCAAAAATGCAGTGAGCTCTCTTTTACTTTCCATCTGATTTATTTAAATCCAAATAAATGGAGAAAAGGTCAATGTAATACCCCCTGGTTTTAATACATTTTTATGCATTTAATGCATTTTTAACAGCTCCCAATTATCTGCCTCTGAATTACTGTCAAAAATTCTAAACTCCAAACTGTCTTTCCCTGAACACATTTATGCCAGCCATTTCTATTATCATTAGATCAAAGAATGCAAACTCATTTTAATATTCACCTAAGCAAAACTTAATTAGGAAGATAAACGAATGCTTTTTTAAAAAGACTAACTGAATACATAGATTATTTTCTGGATTACCTGCTCTCCAGATTATTATAAGACTGCCCCTGCGTCCCTCCATTACAGTCGGTGGAACAAAGCTGGCTCCATCTATCTCTGCCCTGGGATTCAACAATGAAACTACAAAGATGGCTGTCACCTCTAAGGGGGAACAGACCAAAATCCGACAATGAAATGTTCCTACAACATCACCTTTTGCTTTGGGATGTTCCTTGCTGTAAGGATCTGCCTTGTGGATTCCAAATCTCAAAGCAATTTATTAAGCGTACCATTAACTTCATTTCACAGAAGATAGAGAGAACACTCTCAGAAAGAACACAAATTAAAACCAAGATCCAATGATCACTGTATTCTGATGCTCTTACAAGCCTGGACTCTACATCTCAAGGGAACTGTGCTCCAGCACCTCTCCAAGTTAACGAGAGGGATACATAAGGCTGTTCTCCTGCTCTGCGAGAACCCTTGAAGTGAAAGGAGAATGAGGTTTTTCTCACCTGGCCTGGACGAAAAGTAATCATCTGTTTTATATGATGACACTTCAGGTAATTTTCTAACGATTCACCATCATAATATCACAAATATAATTTAGAGCTAATCTCATTATTCAGGATACCAGGGGCTACCGATAAGGAAGCCACTTATCATTCAAGTTTCAAATTTTATGTACATACATGTTGTACATGCATAGACTATTTCTGGAAGGATACACAAAAAAAACTGATAACAATAGATGCCACCTGGGAAGTAGCACTGGGCAAACGGGGCATGAGAGGGAAGGAAATTTACTTGTCACTACATACTCTTTTGTACAAATTTTGTTTTGTAAACATGTATTACCAAATGTAATGGCTTTTTATTTCATGCCTTGACATTCCACCTCCTCACCCGTCTCTCCAACACCTTTCCTCCATTCCTTCTACCTCTCAAAGCCTCCACGTTCAGTGCCTCTAGCCATGCAAGCTATTTATGAACTAAACAGCAGCCAGAGACTGGGCACTGAACTCCCTAAGAGTGGAACTAGGAAGAGTTTTTCAAGGTCACATCCCTTGTTGAGCCAACCCAAGGCCCCAAGCAACTCTTCAGCTACATAGAAGCCAATCTGAAACGGCACATTCTTTGCCTTCTCATCTTGTTCTGGAAGCATACGGGTCAAACATCCCAACTTCAGAATCAACCAGCCAATTCTTTCCCAAGCAAGTGTATCATGCAAGAATCTACTCAAAAAAGATCTACAGCTAAATGGTATTCTACCCCCAAAGGAGGCCCTTTGTCCCAGGGCCTTATGCTGTAATAGACCCTTTATTTTCAGTCTCAAATCAGGACACTGAATACTCCCTGGCCTCTAAAACAGAGGAATTATGAAGAGAGAGCTTGTTGGAAGGAAAATAAACCTGTAAATCCTGTTAGGCTTTGTGCTTCATTCCAAAGGATTTTTCCCCAAAACAGTACCATTAGCATAAACCAGAATGATAGCCCTAAAAGGGAGGATTCTATCAAATAGAATCCAAGCTCTTCATTCAAAATAACTCCCATATAACACAGGAAAATCGGGGCCTCACGATCTATAGGTCATGCTGCTTGCATCCTCACTACTGAGTGAGGCAACTCATTTTCACTATCCATGTGTGGGTTCACTGCATTCCTCCTTATAAATACCTTTCATATAATGTGAACGTGCTTCCTACCTCCAGGCCTCTCTTCTTCCAGGTGCACAGTCGTCCACAAATACTCATTAAGGGCCTCCCAAGTGCCAGGGAAACACAGGAGAACTTGATCCATGCCCTCAAGGAGCAAACAGGAAGATGAGACAGTTGAGCAATTCTAACACAAGGCAGTAAGCGCTACATCCAAGCTCAGAAGAACTCTTCCCACCGTAGTCTGTGAATACCAAGAGGTGTTCCTTGGATGTTAAAGAATAGGATAAGAGCTTTCCAGGCAAGGACAAGAGTGGGGGAAGATCATTTCAGGCAGAGGAAAAAGCAGGCATGATGCTGCAGAGAGATGGAGCTTACATGAAATCAGGAAGAAATTCAGTGTGGCATAAATTAGGGAATCCCTCTTGGACTTGGCCTTTTTCAGAAGGGGTTCAACTTCCAAACTTTGAACATGGGCAGAAAAGTTCTGATGTCTGCTAGCAAATTATTTTCACCACAACAACCACATTTAGGTATCATAAATGTGCCTTTAAGTAATCGTGGCAGAAGCCAGTCTCCCCACCTTACAGAAACTGAGGAGAAAAATGGTCAAAATAACTAAGCCTCATTTACGCAAGAGGTTAACAAAGCAGAGGAAAAAGAACTGACATTGCCTCCAGCATAGGGCTTCTCTGAGGTGCAAGTGTTCCCCTCACCTCTAAGGCTGCTTCCTTCAGGCAGCTTCTGTTTCCAGCCCTAATCTGTGCTGCCAGTGTCCTCTTAACCTCACTCAAAGGTCAGAGGGCAAGAAGCTGGACAGTGTCTGAGCCCACCACCCCTTGTCTTTCCATCTCCAATGCACTGCATGTCACACAGCCTGTTAACACATCATTCTAGAGATGCGGCTGGTTTCTTGTGACCATGTTTCCTGGTTCCCTTCCTGGTACATCTACATGCCTGTATCTGCATCTGCTTGCTCTCCTCCTTGAATTGTAAATTTCCTGAAAGGGGGAATGGAATTTTATTCCCCACCCCATTGCACCTCCCTAGAACCACACTCAAGTCAAGCAGTACTGCTGGAAAACATTACAGTTCCTTAGGTTTAAACGTTGAATGGGAAAGCAGTGAGTTACAAAGAGGAACGTGGCTTAAGGCCAAAAATAGAAGGACCATATAATTTATTGTCATATCTTGACACTTTTGAGAGTGAAGTGGGTGCCATTCATAACCAACAGAGACAACTTAGAAACCAGGTCTGCCCCAGGGAAACACAGAGGCAATGGTCATCCTTGCTAGAAAGAGCATTTCAAATAGATGTCAGTTACTCCAGAGTTCCAGGAGGGGTACCTCAAGCCTCTTCAGTCACCAACCTGTGCTTGCATTCTCAAAGGTTTGCACCAGATAGAACTTGTGGCAGAAAACCCAGTCAGGGAAGTTCTTCCTTTTATCTGACTCAAATCCTTACAGATTCAAATAATCCCACTTCCTATTAACCTCAGATTAAGAGGGAACAATGGCATAGGAAGGCAGCCACAGAGAAGAAAAATCTCACCCTTGCATCCTCACCCTCCTCATTAGGAATTCCTCATTATGAGTTTGACTGCTAGTTCTCCATCCTTCAGCTGAACCAAACTTAATCTGGCTGGCCCAGAAACTCAAAAGCCCAGGGTTTTGGAGTCACTCCCAATGAGAACAGAGTTATCTCTAACTTGCTCCACATTTCCCTGAAGCTTTTCACAAACCAAACCCAAGGAAGAAATGGCACTTGTACGCCTAGTTTTGCAACCAGAAAGCTTTGCCTTCAACCTAAACTATAACTTCAGGGGACCTGAGCACTGGGAGAGATTTTCTCCCACCAGCCCCCAACCTCCAGTCCCCAGAGTGCTGATTCAGGAGCGCAGCAGAGCTGGGCTGACTGGGGAGGTCCAAGGAACAAGTGGGCCACTGCTCCTCCTTCTCCCACCCTCCCTCAGCCCCATGCTGGTGTCACTGTTAAGAGCAAGAACCTCGCTGACTTCTTTTTGTTAATTAAAAAGAAAGTTTCATGTAGGGGTAGGGATGGGGGACAAGGATCTGGACCCAGGAGGAACTGAGCATGAGCATGCAGGTTCCTGCAGCCTGTGCCCACCAGCAGTTGCATGGCCTGGGGCACACATTCTTGCCCAGGGACCAATAGTGGAGGGAAGTCCAATGCCCCTACCCAGTCACCACCATTCCCCACTTTATACCAGATATATTTTATTTTAGAAAGGAGGTATTTAAGCAGGATTGCATAAAGACAGGATGACTGCAATCAACCAAAGGTCACTGAGACAAAGCAGACAAAAACTACAGAGCAGGCAACCTTCCCGGTATGACCTTGGACTAGTCACTTGACCATTCCAAGCTTCAGTTTCTTCATCAACAAAATGACACAATAGGGTGATATGTTTATAAGGTTCGTCCTGAATCCAAGGGTTGAATACTTAACTCTATGTATTTCCTGAAGAAATAGCTAAAGTGAAATTAGTGAAGAAAGGCAGAACTCAGGCTAATCTTTTATTAATAATTTCTACTTTAAAAGGAACAATTTGACTCTGGAAAACAAGTGTATTTACCACCTCTGCGGGTCCTACTTTTCCTCCCCCAGCGACCTTATACTTTTGCTGATGTCAACCTTTACTGCAGGACTGGGAGTCTCATGAGGCAATAACATCGTCAAATTAATTTTGCCAGCACTGATACTAACCTACAAACTCCATCTGCAATTCCTCATTCCTCGCAGTAAGTCTGACCATAAAAGTGAAATTCATGTTACTTATGATCTAATAAACCCATTGCCTGGATAGAAATAAATCACTTACAGACTAATAATGCCCACCACATTTCCTGCAGTGATTTCAAATCCCCAAGAGCCATGAGGGGTATTCCTCTCCAAAATAAAGTTATCTTGAAGGGGATGGGAGAGTCAGTATCTTAAAGGGTGGGGAAGAAGGTATGGAGAGAATCTCACTCCCTCACCAAAAATTAAAAATTAAAAATTCAGTCCTTACACACGCACGCACACACATATACACACCCCTCTTCTCTGTACAGAGATAGTCAAGCTTTCAGGTTTGCCCACCTTTATTGTGCTAATAATGCTAAGTGTGGAAACCCCCTCCTTGTGCTGTTCGGCGTTAAGTGTACCGCAACTGCAGGGTGCTCGCCTCCACTGCCAACTGATGATACACTAAAGAAAGCCCGTTTTTTATCCAGATGTAAAATGAAGCTGCACCCCTCCTATACCTGCCGGAAACTACATCGGTCTGCACACACCCTGGGGTAACACGCGCTGCATCCCGCGAGTTACCTGGAATACGTTTGCTAAATCGACAGGAAGAAGGAAAGAGCAATGCGATTCAAGTGCTGACGGTTGTACTCATGTGAAGGAAAAAAACAAATGCAAGCCGGGAAGTCCCCAGTGGTGCCTGCACCTAGGAGGCGACTGCGACGGATAGATGCGGGGGTGAGGAAGTGCAGGGAGAGGAGAAAACTGGAGGGAGGCGGGTTGCAAAACTGCTCACCTGTCCGTACACCTTGATGGGCTCGGGCTGCAGGGCAGCGCTCCGTCTCCTCCGGAGCGGCTTCTCGTCCGCGCGGCTCGCCCCCCTGGCATCCCCGCGCGCCCACAGCCGCAGCTCGCGAGGGCCGCCCTGCACCACGAGGAAGCCCCGGTCCTGGGGCAAGGGCGCGCGGCCGCCGTGCAGCCTCTGCGTCCAGACTTCGCCGAGAGCTCCGGGCGGCAGCAGCGCGACCAGGGTGAATAGGAAGGGGAGTCGCGACTCCCTCCTGCTGCTCCGTGTCGCCATGTTCGGGCGAACGCTACTGCAGGTGGCGCCGCCGCCAGGAGAGAATGTGCAGCGCGAGGCTGGGAGAGCCGCTGGGCCGGGGCCGCGCGCGCCGCTCCCGGGGCTCCAGGCCGCCAGCGCCGCTCCGGGCCGCCCCGCTGCGCCCGCCGCCGCTGCCGCCAGGTCCCGCTCGGTTCGGCGCGGCGCCGTCACGTGTGAGGCTCGCAGCGCGTCCCCTTCGCGCACTTTCTCCGCTCGGCAGCCTCCGCGGCGACTCCGGCCCCTCCCTGACGCGGGGATGGGGAAGTTAAGGCAGCGAGCGCCGGCGAGGGTACGTCCCCTTCCCCGGCGGCACAGCTCCTTGTTCTCCCTGCAGGAATCAAGAGTTGCGTGAGTCTCGCTCGTTTGCTCTGGAGTTAGTTGCCTCCTCTACAGGGTCGTGTCGAGGTCGTCCTAAACCGCGGCCCCGCTCCTGACTGAACAGCCCCCAGTCCCGCCACACGACCACCTCCCCCCGGGCCCCGGCTTCATCCCCACATCCAGGGGAGAGCCCAGGGCCGCAGAATTAGCTCCGAGAAAGCAATCGACAAGTAAGAGTCCAGAGGAACCCGCTCCTTTGGGAAACAGTTTTTCAGCTACTCTGTGCACCAAAACGTATTTGCAGGGGCCACAGCAAAAACTACCCTTGATCAAGCTACGCGCCCCCGCCTAAAGCACAGCAAATAAACATCCTGCACAGAGGCAGTAAAAACAAGGGTACGTCTGACAAAGAACGCGCCACACCTGGACAATTATTACACAGCTATACAGGGTGTGCTTGCACGCATGCATGAATGCATGTGGGTGGCACAGGGCCCCAGCGGCGGCTTGCTTACGATCCCTTCAAGGTGACCAAGCACTGAGCCACCCTGCCTCAGCAGTTAAATGGGCACATCTATCAGTCCCTTCAACCCACAGCCAGGAGCTGGGCAAACACCCACAGAGGAGGGGGACACACTTTAACCCTAAATTCAGCTTGAAAAGCCAAACTCTCTGGACCACAGGAGATAAAACTTCTGCCATGGAACTGCTAAGGTTCCCAAGGAAAAAAAATTTTTTTTAGCAGTTCCCAAGGAACTGCTAATCGCCCAAGGAAATATATATATATATATATATTTTTTTTTTTACAGGTTAGTGGGAGCAGCCAAGGTCTATGTATGTACTACTGCAACTCTTCCTATTTCATTTTATGTTTCACTGCCCTCTGGACTCAGATCCTGGTTTTTGATAAGAATAAAGACACAGAGAGCAGGGCTGAAGGGGATGTCTTTTATAGTTGCATATAAGCTGCTGTTTAGGGACAGGAGGGATGGTCAGTTCAGTTTTCCAAAAATGTTCCTCATCTCCAACAAGCCACGGTAGTCTGATTCCTACCCCTGCCCACTCTGGTGATTTTCATTGAGCTTAGCAAAGCCCCCTTCTCTACCCAGGACCACCACTGACAACCTGCCAGAGGCAAGCCAACTTGCTTCACCTCCCTGAAGCTAGCATTTAACCACCCTACCTCACTCCATGCCAGACTTGCTGGGGACCTCGGCCTCAGTCTCCCACCTCCTCCACACCCGATTTTTCCCCCCAAGTCAGATGATGTCTTTCTGTCCATCTCAACATAATTGCAGAACCATCCAGTTTTCCCCACCAAGCAAATCATGCATCCTCTATGTTAACTACTCTGCTTTGTTCGTTACACATTGTATACAGGTATCAAAATATCACACTGTGCCCACTGTGATATTATTGGAGTGCCTTCAATCCTGCACCCCAACTTTGATGTCATTTCAGAGGGATAGAGGAAGTGGTAGTTTGTTTACAACCCAGAGCTGGTTTCGAAGCTGAAGGGAATGCCTCATTCATATTGTGCAATTCAGCTCTAACTCAGATATATAACATGTATATGTATATATTTGCTATATACATATATATGTCTATTAAAAATAATAATTCAAACAACCATGCATTCTCCTAAGTGTGGATTTGAAGATGGGGATCTGTTTGCCCACACAAACTGCTGGCTTTTCAGATGGCAATTTGCACGGAAGGATCAGTAGGGCAGGGCCAGCTACTTGCTCATTTTGATTTTGATTTGCAACTTGGATGCTGGAGAACTAGAAAGAATATTCAAACATGGTTAATTTGCTCCTTGCAAGCCCTCCTATCTAATCATTATCTACATTTCAAACCATTCTCAGGTGGATAATCAGCAAACCCCAAGACTGTACCTGCTGCACAACTACAGGGCACAGTGGAAGACACTGAATTTTGAGTCAGAAAGTTGACTTTCTAGCTGTGAGGACTTGGCCAAACCTCCCCAGATCTTCAGTTTTCTCATCTGTAAAATAGGGATCTTAATCCCTACCAATCTCACAGGACTGCTGAGAGTATCAGATGAGGTAAGTGTATGAAATAGCTGTGCAAATTTGTATAAAGGCATCCAGGGAGAAATCGTGCATGCAGGTGGCATTAGAGACAGATTCTAGTCCTGGCTTTGGAACCAAGTTATTATGTGATTTTTTTTTTTTTTTTTGCCTTGATCATCTTGCCTCTCTGGACGTTGATTTCTTCATAAGTGAAATGAAAAGACACCTTTCAGCCCTGACCACTCCCAAACCTTCAGGACCCTCACTGGGTCATGAGACAGGAGTAGCCATAGGCAAGTTCACCCAGGCCAGAAGTTTGAGCTGAATTGTGTAATATGAGTGAGGTGTTCCTCTCAGCTTCAAAACCAGCTCTGGATTGTAAACAAGCTACCACTTCCTCTATTTCTCTGAAATTACATCAAAGTTGGGGTGCAAGATGGAAGGCAGGGCCCCATCCCCCTCTGTCCCAGCTTTCATGGACTTGCTCATATGCTTCCCAGCGTCAGGACGAAAATCAACATCCATAAAAATGTAAGCATAGACTCACAGCTGTGTATAAAACAGTCTTAAGCCTATTGTCACACTTTAAACTGCCCTCCACTGTCTTTCTGCCCATCCTAGGCCACTGGAGATGGAGGTTGAGGACAACCACACTGAGGTCACAGTGTCCCATATTTTTATCCAGATGGAGTCATGTTTAAAATAGCAGCAAGGACAGACATGAAGAAGAAAAAACTCCCCAAATCCTAACTTGACTTCTTTCTGTTCTTTCTCATCCTATGGCCTTGCCTCCCTGGCTGGCCAACTTCTATTCATCCTTCAGGTTTCAGAGTGGGCTCGTTAGGCACCTAGCCTAGGTTACTGCCCTCGCTCTAAGAGTCTAGTCCCCTGTAGCCTTTGATACTTCCTCTCTGGTCACTTGCTTATCTCCATCTTCCTCTTAATCTACAAACAGCAGAATGGCAAAACCAGTCTATCTTATTCATGTCTGTATGCTCAGTATACTCTTGGTACATGGTGGCACTCAGTGATATTTATAGGATGCATGCATTTGAATGAAGGTAAGAGGTGAAACCCCCTTTGTCCTGGTGACAATGCTTGGTTAAGGGGCCAATGTGGTTGAATCTCAGATCTTTTCTTATCACCATCTGCTTCCCACCTCATTTTTCTTCCCCCAAGGCAGGCCTCTCTGAGTCACATAACCAGACCAGAGTCATTAAAGCAGAAAAGCGACTTCCCTGCCCTTAGGATAGTAAACATTGTTCCCTCTTCCATGTAACTTTGGCCAAATAACTACCATTTACCTCACCAGCTCCAGCGAAATAGAAAAACCCGCCTGCCCCAAAGAAATAACTCCTTCTCTTGCTGCTGCCAAAAACTACTTCAGTTAGGAAAACGTCCAACATAATTGATGAGGTTTAAAATACAAATGCACCCAGAGCATAGAATAAGTAACTTATATTCTCACTCTTGATTAAATTAAATCCAAAGAGGAGGTTCTGGAAATAGCAGTAACTTATTCTGCATAGCAGTGATTTACATTTGCATAACATTATAACAGCATTATCTATCTCATTCCATCGCACAGCAACCCTTTGAAGTGGGCCCAATCGAGAATTATTGTCACCCCCATTTTACAGACCTTAAGCATTGAAATTCAGAAAGGCTATTTGATTTGCCTAAAATTAAACAGGCTTTCTGACTTAGTGTTAGTAAGGGATACATTTGAACCCAGGCTCCCTTTTTCTGCCACATCTGATACCTCCCTTAGGAAGAGAAGAGCTGGTATTTCAAGTTCTGGGTATGGCGGAACAGTGGAAACCAGGGCAGAAAGAAGGAAAGGGAGAGGCTCTAGGCCTCACCTCCTTCACAGCTCAGCCCTGCCTTAACCAGCGCTGTCTCCCTTCCCAGGTACCTAGCCTAGGTGAGATGCTATATCTGTTTGACTCTCTCCTCAGGCCCTGATTGGGACAAGTTAGCAGTAATGTTACTGTTACAAAGTTCACCAGTCCAGTCCTGTTTTCTATAATTTTCTAGGAGATGAATTTAGTGAGGAATTTGGTTTCCAATTTTTTCAAAACCTGTGAGAGAGCATGAGATTTAGAAGGTGCCCTCAGATGGGCACGGTGACTCATGCCCTTAATCCCAGCACTTCGGGAGGCCAAGGTGGGAGGATCATTTGAACCCAGGAGTTTGAGACCAGCCTGGGCAATGTGTCAAAACCCCATCTCTACAAAAAATACAAAAATGGGCCAGGCACGGTATCACATGCCTGTAGTCCCAGCTACTTAGGAGGCTGAGTGGGGAGGATCGCTTGAGCCCAGGTGGTCAAGGCTGCAGTGAGCTGAGATCACACCACTGCACTCCAGGGTGGGTGACAGAGAGAGACCCTGTCTCAAAAAGAAAAGTTTTGATTCTGCTGTTTACCTTTGTCTGGCCTTCATCCCTGAGTAACCCAACTTCCTGAATTTCTATAATAAGTATGCTTTTAGACCTTTCTCACAAAGTGTGTGAAGTAGAAACCTCGAAGTCCCTTATTATTATGTAGACCCAAGGACAAACCTCCTGACCTAAGACAATGGCTTGCTGAGGGTCCCTGGGAAATTATCGCCTTCCCAGTGAATATAGAGGAGTAGGACTCCCCCTCCTGGGTTTGAAGTGAATGAGAGGAATTTAAGCTGAAGAGTCTTTGAAAATTCCTGTGTAATTACATATCAAGGCTTGTATCTTCTTCCCTTGAGGCCTTTGCAGTTCACTCACCAGGGATGCATGCATTAGGCACAGATGAGCCCTGGGATGTGACCAATCAGCTTGGACACAACACAATTTAAATGTAATGCTTTATTTAGGCAGATGCCTTTGCACTCTTTTAGGGCCAGCAAGATGGGGAAAACAGTCAGATTAGGTTTTTGGCCCACCTCTCCTGGATACATTCCTTTTTTTTTTTTTGAGACAGAGTTTCTGTCACTCAGGCTGGAGTGCAGTAGCGCAATCTTGGCTCACTGAAACCTCCGCCGTACAGGTTCAAGTCATTCTCCTGCCTTAACCTCCCGAGTAGCTGGGATTATAGGCATATGCCACCATGCCTGGCTAATTTTTGTATTTTTGGTAGAGACGGGGTTTCACCATGTTGCCCAGGCTGGTCTCCAACTCACCACCTCAGTTGATCCACCCGCCTCAGCCTGCCAAAGTGCTGGGATTGCAGGCATGAGCCACCCTGCCTGGCCTTCTCCTAGATATATTCTAACAGAAACCTAGGATACCCCTAGGCCCCTTTTCCATCCAGGACAGGTCAAAATGCTCTCCCCTTTGGCCTTGTTTATTCATTAAGTAAAAGGTCACTTTTTGACCTCTTCCTGGATTTCCCCCAACCACCCCCAGAGGTCCTGGAAACTTGCTTTAAGCCTCGGTTGAGATGTTGATGTTTCCATTAGAGCAACCATTTGGGTACTTACCTCCTTTTGTAATGAGGTCTTGGAGTCTATTCCCTGTCTTGCACTTAACTGAGACAGGCTAGATGCTACTAAATTGAAATGAAAGGGAAGGGAGTGGTGAGAGGGAATTACCCCCACCCTCGCCCCGCACACCCTTCGGCAGTGGGTTCGGGAAGGAGGAACAATTGTGAATCAATGCTCTGGGGAGACTGAATTTTCCATTCTAGCTTTCACTCCAAAGGATGGCAGAAAGACCTCTGAGGACCTGTCAGCACCAGGGGAGCCAGCCTGAGCTAGAAGGGATTCCTTTCCCTGCAACATATTTTATGCATGTCCTGGTCATCATCTGCCCAATAATAGGTTCAAATGTCTGTAAAGGACACAGCCAGTAACTGCAAGGAACTTGAAGAAGGAAAAGAAAGATAAACATGAAACTAGCAGAAATACGTAAACACAAAAAGAACTCTGGGAATAAAAAGACGAGCACTGGCTTTGGGGAGGGTGATGGGCGAACTCTCTGGAGCATAAGACGTTTTGAGCCGTGGTTTCAGGTGTGCCTATGGTGGTTGGGATGGGACAAGCGGGTGCTGTGAGTCCGGGAGGAAGCAGGAAGTTATTTTCAGCGTCTGAAGAGAATGAGGAAAGGTTTCAGGGTAGAGTGGCGGCAAGGTAGGGTGTGGGAACAAGTAGGTGGGGTGGTGCCTGCTGTAAGAGGCTAGGAGAGAGACGCCAGAGAAGAGTTGTGGGACAACAGAAGCTGAGTGGAGCGCCCAGCTCGTTCCGTTCAGCACTGTGGTGCAGGGGTCGGCGGAGGCCCTGCAGCCAGGGGTCCTGACAAGTGCTTCTTCCAGCACCTGTTTCACCAGGGCCACAACGTGTGCTCCAAACGTCACTTTTGCCCATCTCCTGCCTTCTTCAGGAGAAGTGGGAGGACCTATGTATCATACATATAGTATCCCAGAGGGTGCGACAGATGATACCTCTCACTGTGCGCCTTCTCTAAATCCGTCACCCTGGAAATTTTACATAGTGTCATCAGCTGAATTGACACCTGTTAAAATGATCATTCCTGCTAGACTCAAAACTGCAAGTGCTTTTAATGAGACCCCACAGAAAAGAATACATTTTCTCAGAGCCCTTAAACAAATTACATTAAATCCTCCACACCAAATAAATTATTGAAACAGCGATTCGAGTTTGGGTCATACCAACAGACCTGCTCGGAGGCAAATTTTCAAACTACCCAACCACCTAAGCAGAGAGGTGAGTGAAAAATCCATTCCCTTTCAATGGTTGTTTAAACAGGAGCTTCAGTGCTAAATTAGCAGTCGTTTTTGTGTATGAATTTTCTTTGAAATCTAACATTATGTAAATGAAAAACCCAACACAGAGCAAATTAAGACTATTCTTAATTCTAAAAGGCTGCTATTCTGTGATAATGACGCCATGGAATACTTTACAGTCTGCCAACCATGGAGTGTGGTTCCTGCTCCCCCATCTGTCTTGGACGCCTCCCAGCAGGGGGACACCCACTGTGTCCTCATTTTTTAATCCCACCCACTGAAGTCAGATCCTGTCCACCCTTCCGCCCCTCTTCCACTTCATAATTTGATCTTGCCCAGATCATTTAATCACCTAAAATGGAACCAGAGATTGAAATGGGCTTAACCTGCATCTGTGTGCAGTGTAAAGTACTAGAAGTGTGACGTAAGGGGCCCACTCACCTGGTTTTACATCCAGCTCTGCCACAGACCAGCGGGATCTGCTCAGGCACCTTCTCAGAGCCTGTTTCTTCATCTGTAGGTAAATATGAATTACCTACATCTTCAGGTTTAAAGGATTAATTGAGATTATACATGTCAATGGTTTAGAAAGTGAACACCTGGCACGTAAAACTTTTTCAGTGAATGATGTGTATTGTTATTGAGGAAAGCTCGGGTTAGGTATTGTTGGTAAATCAATTTGGCCATTCAGCAGTTGTTGGGTTTTTGTTTAGGTTTGTACATGTTCCTTGAACCTTACTACCAGGTGAATATGATGCTATAAAAACTGAGATTAGTTTTTATAAATTAAACCAGGTCTCTCTCTCTCTCTCTCTCTCTCTCTCACACACACATACACACACACACACACGCACTACTTAGCAAGCAGGCTAGAGGCCATTACACAGCTTGGTACCAGAAGGCTCAGGGCACCCCTAAAACCCTTACAGGAAGACCTAGACCCCAAACAGATGTAGCAGTGCTCTGAGGCCAGGATCCACCAAACTCCTCGTTAAATCAGCGAACAGTTTCACACCAAGTGGAGAGACAAAAGACCAGATGAATTCCACAGCTCTGGGAGGAGGAGTCAGCCTGCTGGGTCTGCTGGATTCTTACATCTTGTCCAAGCAAGCCCACTCCAGCTATGTTTCTTGAGCAGTGCCAATTTCACCAATGAAAAATAATAACTAATATCCCTTATGCTAATTAATACATCTTCTGATTCAGATGTGCATGATGTTCTCAGAGCAGCTACCTGAAAAGCTTGGAATCCTGAGCAGGATGCTTCAAGTGCCAATCACATGTAGAGCATGGATTTCTGATGAGGACCCTTTAAATGTTAAGTGTACACCCCCAGCATGGATTATAGTTAATTTATACACATGCACATGACTCTGTTTCTATTAAAGTGTTTAAAATCAACTACAGACAATATAGCAACTATGAATAAGGAAAAGCTTCCAACATCAATGGAACTGGAAAGTAGTATAAAACCATGGCTTTTCCTTCAATGGGAATATTCATGCTTTAGGTTCTTGTCCATTTAACATGGCATTGTGAGAATTTATTTTAGATATGGCAGCGTAGGCAGCCAGATATTACTGTGTATGTCTGGGCAGCACCCTGGGGCAGCCATTTGTCCTAATCAGGAATTCATGCCTCAAAGGTGGTCAGCTAGCATTAAGAAATCCAATGCTAGCTCCAGGGTAGCTCCAAATCTTAATCAATGCAAGTGATTTTTTACTAATTAGCATAACAAATGTTGAGAATGAATCTTTCGTTAGTAGCTTGTTAATTAGATTAGTAAGAATTAGAAACAGGCTCTCATTAGTAAAGTCAGAAGTATTCAAGACACATGGCTTGTCAAAAATATTTTGTAGACACACTTTCCATCCCGTATCTTCATGTTCTCTAGCCTCAGAGATGCCAATTGAATATCTCTTTTCTTTTCTTTTCTTTTCTTTTTTTCTTTTTTTGGAGACAGAGCCTCACTCTGTTGCCCAGGCTGGAGTGCAGTGGCACAGTCTCAGCTTACTGCAACCTCCACCTCCTAGGTTCAAGCAATTCTCCTGCCTCAGCCTCCTGAGTAGCTGGGACCACAGGCATGCGCCACCACGCCCAGCTAATTTTCGTATTTTTAGTAGAGACAGGGTTCCATCATATTGGCCAGGCTGGTCCAGAATGCCCGATCTCAAACAATCCACCCACCTCGGCCTCCCAAAGTGCCCGGATTACAAATGTGGGTCACTGCGCCTAGCCCCAATTGAGTCTTAATACCTAGCTCTTCCTGTGTCCTTGGGTTTAAGGATTCTAGTTTCTTGTTAACAACCATAAGTTTAACTGAATGCTGGCTCTGGAATGTTGCATATGCATCTAGTAAAGCACATTCAGGTAAGGTGCAATGAAAGCACCTGAAAGAGCTGAGACTTCCTATGCCTTGTTGCTAATAAATATTTACTTCATAAACATCTGCCTGTATAGCAGAATCATTAAAATCTGGCAGCGAGGTTGTGAGGAGTAACTAAACCTTACCTGCTCCAACTTGGCAGCTACTCTATCAAAAATAACTAATGACTGGGCATGAATAAACTTATCTAGGTCAATTTCAATATGTTACTGAGTGCTCCTGTTGGAAAACTAGGGTAAGACTAGGGTTAGTGGCACACAGGGTTTTAGGATCAGTGGATTAGTTGGGATAAAACTTTAGCTGCATGGCACAGAGACCCAAAATGATGGTGGATTATGCAAGACAAAAGTGTATTTCTCCTACACATTAGCTTATGTCTCTGCTGTAGCTCCACGCAGCTGTCAAGAGTTCAGGCTCCTTCTGTCTCATTGCTGTGCCACCCTAGGGTGCATCCTTCGTTTGTATGATCCACAGTTGTTCACCAGAACATCCTCAAGCCAGCCAGTGGGAAGGAGAAAGGGCACAAACCAATGCATACACATCACTCTGTTCACATCCCACTTGCCAGAATTTAGTCTCATGGTCACACCTACTTGCAAGGGATGCTGGGAAATAGAGGCCTTATTTTAAGCATCCATGTGCCCACTTACAAATCAAGGGTTCTTTTCCCTTTAGAAGAAGTGGAAAACACTCTTTTTCTTCAGCGAGGCGGCCGACTTGCAGATGCAGAGATGCAGATCTTTGTGAAGACCCTCACGGGCAAGACCATCACCCTTGAGGTCGAGCCCAGTGACACCATTGAGAATGTCAAAGCCAAAATTCAAGACAAGGAGGGTATCCCACCTGACCAGCAGCGTCTGATATTTGCCAGCAAACAGCTGGAGGATGGCCTCACGCTCAGAATACAACATCCAGAAAGAGTCCACCCTGCACCTGGTGCTGCGCCTGCGAAGTGGCATTATTGAGCCTTCCCTCCGCCAGCTCGCCCAGAAATACAACTGCGACAAGATGATCTGCTGCAGGTGCTATGCTCGCCTGCACCCCATGCTGTCAACTGCTGCAAGAAGTGTGGCCACACCAACAACCTGCACCCAAGAAGAAGGTCAAATGAGGCCCTTCCTTCCTTGAAGGGCAGCCTCCTGCCGAGGCCTCTGGAGCCTCAATAAAGTGTCCCTTTGGTTGACTGGAGCAGCAAAAAAAAAGAAGAAGAAGAAGAAGAAGAAGAAGAAGTGGGAAACAATACTGAGAACAAACAATAGTTAGTTCCAAAATCAGAAAGTAATAATGGAGAGAATGGGCCTGGAAATTAGTAGGCAAGCTCTGTTACAGGGGCTCGCTTCTAAAACACTGAAATACTTACATATCCATTGGTAAATAGTTACTTCCGCAGTCATTAGGAGCAGAAAAGGTGTGATCCCTTTCCTCGCCCATCATAAGGGTCACAGCCAACACTCTTGTAACAAAAGACAAGTTAGCAGGAGAAAAGCATAACAGCTTTATTTGATAACAATTTTATGTGACGTAAGAGCCCTCAGAAATAGAGACCCAAACACCCAGGTCTACTTTTATGGTTAGGTTTGATGAAGAACGGACAGCCACGTAGAAATGCTACTGGACGAAAGAGTATGTATGATCTCATGGTAATAGACTAAGAAGGGAACCCCAGCAAGTCTTGTCTGTTCAGATTCTTCTTGACCTCCTTCCTCCTGAGTATGGAGTGGGACCCCTCTTGAATGAGGGTCTTCAAGAAAGAAGTATAAAGGGAGAGAATGATTTTTCCAGGTTCATGGCTTGCTTTGGGAGAAAGAAATTCTAGTTTCTATGACCCATCTTGGGAAAGAGGAATTCTGGTTTCTATGAGTCAGGAGAGAAAGAGGGGCATGAGACAGGAGGGCAAGAAAAAGTCAGAGAGAACTTGTTTCTGAGGCTGCTGGTCGGGCCTTCCCATCTTCTTTAGTTCAAAGTCTCAATATGCCATCCTCTGGTCCTCTGAAGCGGTTTGTTTGTTTGTTCTGAGACAAGGTCTTGTTCTGTCACCCAGGCTGGAGTGCAATGTCACGATCTCAGCTCACTGCAACCTCCGCCTCCTGGTTTCAAGCGATTCTTCTGCCTCAGCCTCCTGGATAGCTGAAATTACAGGCATGTGCCACCATGCCAAGCTAATTCTTATGCTTTTTGTAGAGACAAGGTTTCACCATGTTAGTGAGGCTGATATGGAACTGCTAACCTCAAGTGGTCTACCAGCCTTGGCCTCCCAAAGTGCTGAGATTACAGGCATGAGCCACCATGCCTGCCGTGGGGTATCATTTTCTAAGCCCCAGCAAGTCCCTGAGTGCTACTAAATCCCAGTGTCCCAGGCACCGTGCCTCCCCACCCAGGACACTGAACTTCCCTCAGGATCATGTAACTAAAAGATTAATTAACGTCTGGTCCACTAGGGGCCTCTTAGACCCTCATCCAGCCCAAAGGCCTGTGTCCATTCTGATTGGCCAGTGCCCTTGTCTTACTGATTTTTTTTTAAATGCAAATATAACTTGTGGCAGCAATGTCTGGAAATCATATTTTATGCAAAAGTTGAAGAAATGACATATTTAACTTAGGATAGAGGAGATTTAGTAGAGGAACAACTCAGCCATTTTCTTTAAACATTTATATTAATAATCACTGTCTTTAAATGTTACTGTCAGTGCCTGCTATGTGCCGGGATTGGATCCGAGCTCAGTGCTGTATTTGTGCTCTGTCAAATTCTCAAAGCAATCCTGTATTGTGAGAATCATTTTTATTTTACTGACAAAGCTGCTGAAGATCAGAGACATGAAGTTACTCATAGAAGATATACAGACAGAGCAAGATTCAAACCCCTTGGGTGTCTGGCTCCAAAGTGGAAATTTTCTCCATGGTGCCAAAGGACTCGTAAACAGAATGTACAAAGGACTCTTACAAATCAATAATAAAAAGACAATCAATTTTTTTAAACAGGCAAAAGACTTAGATAAACACCTCATAAAAGAGAATGTTTGCATGGCCAATGAGAACATAAAGAAGATGGTCAGTGTTGTTGGTGGTCAGGGAAGTGCAGATTAAAAATGCAATGGGATGCAACTACACATCATGAGAATGGTTACAACTGAAACATTTTAACAATACCAAATGTTAGAGAGGCTGCGGAGCAGCAGGATGTTTTATGCATGGCCGGCAAAAGTATAAAATGCTAGAGCCATTTGGAAAACTGGCATTTTCTCATAAATATGCACCTATCATGTGATCTATGCTCGCCTGCACCAAAATTCCAAAAGAAATGAAATTATATGCCTACAAAAGTTTTTAATAAGAATGTTCATTGTGGCTTTATTTCTTTTGTTGTTGTTGAAAAAAGTCTCACTCTGTATCCCAGACTGGAGTGCAGGTGCACAATCTTGGCTCACTGCAATCTCCACCTCCCAGGTGGAGCGATTCTTCTGCCTCAGCCTCCCAAGTAGCAGGGACTACAGATGTGTACCACCATGCCTGGCTAATTTTTTGAATTTTTAGTAGAGACGGGGTTTCACCATATTGGCCAGTCTGGTCTTGAACTCAAATTATACACTTAAGATCTGTGCATTTTACTGTATGTAATTATGCTTCAAATAGTAATAAAATAAAGGGATGAAATGGGTTGCTTCTTCTGGTGTTATGCTTTGGCGTTGGATGTATTTAAGCTAGACTAATGCTTTTCAGAGATATTACAGATGGTTCAAGTTGGGAGTTCAGATTAAGTAATTTAAAAAATAAACTCAGGTTTAAGACTTTGATGTGATGCTTGATACGTAATGCTGAACTCATCATGTATTTGGGAAAAGGCAAAACCAGCATTCGTTTTCTATTTTGGAGAACTCAACATAGATATGGAAACTTAGGTTACCAAAATCTTTCTTGAATCTGTTTACTTTTCTTTTCTAAAATTCTTCCCCTATTTACCATTACCTCTAACTACTTGCCTCCTGAAACACAAACCTTTAGCTATGCTATGTTCCTGTATCTTAGAACATGTGGTGTTTGCATATTTCCTTTGTTAAACATCCTCCTTACCCCCACTTCCCATCAACTTCTGCCCGTCTTTGAAACTACACAGAAGTCAACTGTACCAATAAGACTCCCCTGTAAGCACTGCAGCCCACAGTTTGAGTCTATGCCCTTACTAGATTACCTGTAGCATAGCAGTTATCCCAGGCTAAATGATGCCATGGTCCCCTCCAGCTCAAAGAGTGGGGATCTTTGAACACAGGAATCTGGGCTTGAACAATGAAGAGAAACAACAAAGCCATCAGCAGTGGTATCTTCATCAGGTTCTACATGAGGTAGAATGAATGATAGAATATGACCTGGGACACTTCTGTGAAAACTGTGTTACTTAGAATTAAGTCAGAAGTTTCAATTCCAGCTGACTAATAAGAGAACCAGTTGAGATTGTCAAACTTGTACAGTCTTGGATACTTGCCATTTTGGAGCTAGATGAGAAAGAATTCAACTCAGGGGTTGCATAAGAATGGGTCTGTGCGGATGCCATGGAACATGGCGAGTTGAAAGAAAATGGGTGAATAAAACTCCAGGCTAAGTGCTGAAGCTAATATTCACTCTCTGTGGGGTCAGATCCTATGTTAAACATTGTGTGTCCATCCATCTTATTTAATCCTCATTGTAACTCTCTGTACAGAGGCTGAGTGCCCAAGATTTCACAGCTAGTAAGTGCTAGAACTGTTTCTCATTTCCAGGTCTATTTGACTCCAAAGTCCATACTGTTACTCACTAGGCTCTAGTAAGTCCCAGAGAGGAATTGCCAAAATCGTTTAGCCCTGTTTCTTGGTTCCACGTACCTTGGCCACCCCAAAATGGCTAACTCCTTTCCTGTTATTTTTAGGATTTCTGGCAAGAGAGGTCTGCAGCATTCCTCAGTAACCTGTCCCAGTGCCTCTAACACCTTCAGCGTCTGAATACACACTTTTCTTTGTATTTCATCTGAGTCCTCCCTACTTTTGTTTTATCATTCGTAGGTGAGATAAGGCTCCATTTATACTTAAAATTTCAGTGAAAGCAGGAGGCTGCAGAAATCACTGCAGCAAGAACTTTAAATATTCTAGTGCATCTTCTGTTTGTCTGAGAGTTGTCAGGTTTCTCTAGCAGTGCAGTCTGGAGCCATATGAAGGGAGATTAATGAGAGGACATGAGGGGTCCAGAAGCAAATATTCATTAAAGAGATCAGGAAGTGGGTTTGTCCTCATTAAGGCATAATCACAGCAGACCACAGAGCACAGTGGAATATGAAGCTGTGGTGTAGCCAAGGAAAATGCAAGGAACAAATCTAATAGACATAGGAAATAGCAGGAAACCATAGCACTGTTATGCTGAAGTTACGTATTAGTCTTCTCCCTATGGTCATTTTGCCTAAATCAACTAAACCAAGTCTAATATATTTAGCACCTATAAGAAACTCATTTCTCCTCCCTCCCCTCTTCTTGTGTGCTTGTGACTGTCTTACTGGACAACCTTTGATTTCAAAAGCAGTGCTATGAGAACCCAGAATATGGCTCTTGTTCAAGAGCCTAGCCTCAGTCCTCAGAGTTGGAGTCCCAGACGTCACATATCACTGAGCTGGGGTGTGGGAGGCCCTCAGGCTCTTTTCTTAAAGCTGGTAGAGGGCAGAGCTCAGATATGAACCCAGGCAATCGAGCTCCAGAGCCCGTGCCCTTAACCACTTCATTGCTCCTCAGTTGATTTGTGATAGCATTATCCCTAATCCCCTGACAAAAGAGAGGTACCCTTGAGGGTCTAGCCAGTGCTTTATGACCATTTAAAATTTTCAAGCAGCAGAACTAGCTTTATTATAACTAAAATCTGACATGGAACCTCAATGTATGAAATAGACAAAAGCAGATGTGTGGGTACTAGGGCTGTGGGGGTGGGCCAGGGTTTCCGAAGCCCTGCTTGCTTAACTCTACCAATCCTTAGGGTTCTGCAGAACACAGTGAGAACTACATTACTTGGTTAGCTAGTGAGTAAACTGTAAATTGACATGTAATAGTAAATTGACATTTTTTTTCTTTTTATCTGTTTCCACTCCTTTCAATCAGATAAGAGAAATGAGATTTAGAACAAGCAGACAGAGCAAAGGGGAAAGGACAGAGCAAAGAGAAAGACCAGTACCCAGGGCATTATCAGAGAGCAGCTCTGAGCAAGGAACTGGCGGTGGGGCATCATGGTCAAGGTGAGCTGTATGAGATCATCCACAAGTACAGGAAAAAGGGGCAGGCCATTTGTGCCTAACAGCAGTCCCAAGAACTTTTGAAGGAAAGGTAAAGACAGGAAGCTGTGAACTGGGCCAACATGTTAACAACTTTCTGCCCTCTAGCATCTTTTCTTTTTGCCTATGCAACAATCACATGTACTTTGCACAAGCCCAGAAACAGGAACCAGGTTTTCTGTCCTTTGCTTACGTTTGTAACCTTTCCAAGCCTACCTCAGGAAGGATGTCTATTGAGCAGATGGGTTTGTGAAATTTCCTAACAGGAGGAAGCAGTTTGCTACAACAACAGCTCAGAGGGTTCTTCTGCACTCTGCACTTCAGCAGTTGTGCCAGCTGGGTAAGGAAGAACACAAAGGGAACCAATGATGTGGGCTGGTGCATTCAAATCAGAGGCCTCTTTGAATGTAACTGATGGAGAGAGAGATTGAGAGAGGATTATAATAGGCTGCCCAGCTACTTAGGTAACCACACTTAGTGGGGATTCCCCAGATCCAGGAGCTGGATTTTAATTTGCCAGGCTCAGAAATTCCATTTTATCAAAGCGCATGCCCTGATTTGGGCCATTTTCAGTTTCCTGGATATTGTCAATTTTCCTTTAAGCCAGTCTTCATTCTTTCTTGCCCTGCCCTATGCTTCAGAAGACTGCCACTTGGCTTCCAGTTGGCTTTGGCCAATTGTAGTAACTGCAAGGAGATCATAGTGCAGCAAAGAAAGGAGGGCAGGGTAGTTATTCCCCTACTTTCCTGC